AGTCTTTGGCGCTGGGCATAACAAAGATTTATGCCCGGTCTGGAGCTAAAAACATAAATATGATGCGCCTAAAAGTGGCCAAAACCAACACACAACAACAACAACAAACATCCAGGTACGTGGCCAAAAAGGTAAAGGTATTAAAGCTAAAACTTTATCCCAGCCTGGTGGTATTTTTGGCTAAAACTTTTCACTTTTGTTGCTGCCACAGAGGTTGCATGATACCGGGTGGTCTATACATACATATATATATATATTATTATATATATGTATTATACACATTCGTTAAACTTTCTTTGGCCAAAAGGCAAACAAACAAAAAAACAAAAATGGTTTTGCCGGAAACTTGAGTATTTAGCCGTAAGTGGTAATAATTACAACTCCCGGATGCCAGAGGCCCATACAGTGGATGGGGGGATAAGGACTGGTTTCCAGTTACGTTCAGCTGCACACAAGTAAATTAAGTTTAATTGGATTAAAATTATACAAAATTATACGGCGCAGGCCAGGCCATAAACCATTGAGGCTCCTCCATGTGGCTGCAACGCCCACAAAGGACAATGTACAGTCTCTCGACTATACTAAAAAAAAAAAATTTCCTAATCAAAAATCGGCCCCTCCTATTTCGCTATTTGTTCCCTGCACTGCTTTATAATGCAAATGGAAAATTCTATTAGGGCCGGGCCGAGCTCAAAAGTATGCTTCATTTAATTTACAAGCCAATTTGTTGCCGGCTTGCTGGGTGGAGCAAGCTCAGGGGGAAAATCGAGTCTGGGCCTCAGGAATGTTGACAAATTCCACAATATGTTTTCTATAGTATACTTTTCAGGCTTACTCCTGAACCTATCCCCCATCCACCACAAAAAAAAAAATACTCCCCAGTGCACTATTCGAGGAGCTTGCAACTCATTTCGGCTCTCGTCTGTCAACGCTGCAAAGTATGCTTTAATTTTATGACACCAACCAAGTCTCCCTACCCATCTCTTTCTATTCTTTAGGTATCCCATCTCTTTCCTTTTTATTGAAATATTATGCAACAAAGTTGATGAATTTTTAGCTCGACAAACTTCGGCACTGCACGGGGACCTCGCATTAAGCGACTCTGAAGTTTCCCAGAGCCCGACAGAGTATGAGCAATGACTCTTGGCCCTTTTAGCATTGTATCAGGTGTTTACCAGGTTCACTAACACAAAGCCATACAACACACACACACACACACACACACGATAGAGAGAGAGAGCAACAACAAAGGCAAAAAATATTATAATAGCAATTGAGAATTGCTGATGAGCCCTGCCACCAGGCTCAGGACCCAGGCTAGTCCCTGCCTTTTCCAAAAACTGTCAGCTCACAATAAAGTACACTGGAAAAAAATATATATGTATACATTATAAGGGCTACTAGTAGCTAAAAGTACAAAGGAACTTATTCTTTAAACTTCTCTATAAAGTACCAGGTATTATATACTTGCTTCGCCCAAAAGTAGGCAACAATATTGTAGACTAAATTTGGTTACAGTGCCGATTTTGAAGCCGGGCCGCTTTGCTCTTTGCACACAGACTTGATGCCGAGGGAGCATTTTAATTATTCAACATTGTTGACAAAGTTTCCACGGGACGGGACAACGCCTGCCAAGCAATATGATTTGCTGCTTGAGCAGTCAAAAGTTGAGGAGGAAAACAAAAATTCGGTCTACGGCAACAGCAATCTGTACGCCGTACTCTGTTGTCCGTATGCCGAGCCAAAAGCCGGAGATATTCCGCAAAAGATTGCCAGAGTGTGGGGCTCTGCTGTGGTGATTCCGGGAATGGGACTGGGATTGGGAATGGGAATAGGAACAGATGCCGTCAGTTAGTTGCTCATTTTGCTAAAATCGCTCGGGGCCGGAGTTAGGCAAGCGAAAATCTGACAATGAATAGTTATCGAAGTTTCCAAGAATTCAATTACATTTTGCAGAAAAAAAGATAAGCATTTTAAAAAAAACTTTAAAAAACAAGGGGTGTTCTTGGAAAAATATCGAAAAATTGAAAACCATATTTGGGAAAGGTTTTTGATAAGGAATTGAGCTACAAGGATCTCTGATTATAGAACTGTTAACCTTTTTCCGATCGGATCTGAGATGGAGGAGCTATGCGTATCGGAAGGAGGGAAAAATGAAAAAATCGAAAATGGGGATTTTTCAAGGGGGAACCCCTACGTAAAATTCGAATTATCGAAACAACCTATTCACAACCAATTATGCTCTAAAGTCTGTTGAAAAGCCCCGGTATAATGGGATCGGATATGGTTATCGTTCATCGTTTATCGCTATCGCCTCCCATCGTTACTGTTACGTCATAGACCAAATTGGCAGAGACTGCAATTTAATTTCTTTACTACAGCACAGGGAGAAAGTGCTGGGAGCAAAAAAAAAAAAGGGGGTAAACTGACCAGTTTCGAAACATTTTCGGTCGTCGCGCTTCAATAATTCTGTTTGCCGAAAGAGACGGCCTGTGTGGCCAAAGAAAGAGAGGGAAAACGAAGCAAACATGTTTCGAGTGGCTTTTGTGGCAGTGACGCGAAGACTGAACCGAAAAAAAAAAAATAAAAACACCAAACTGCAGTGGCAACAAAAGCTGCTGCAGTGGCAGTGGCAGACTCAGTGGCACAAAGTCCACAAAAAAAGTTACAAAAAGAAATGATGGGACTATGCGAATACTCTTTAAATATCAACAAAGTTTTTTTTTTAATTTATTGTAAAAACCATCATTCCTTCATACTTTTTTATATTTTCCCTAAAAAAATGTAATATTATTTTTTAAAAAATAATAAAACATAAAGCCAATATACCCTCCCATCGGGTCATAGGGCATATAAAACCGAGTCCATTCATGGCCTATGTGAAAAATTACAATGCGTTTGTTTGCCAATGGAAAGCCGAGGTCTTTCCGCAGCCGCCTCCACCTTTTCCATTTTCCTCATTTCCCAATTTAAATTTTCCTCCGCAAAAGCCAAAAGTCGGACCAAAGATGGCAAAACAAAAAAAAAATATATGGGAGGAAATACCAGTAGAGTGGAAGTTTTGGGGGGAAGGCCGCAAAACACTCAAAAATTCGCAGACAGCCTGGCATCGTCATTTTCAAAGTGACGCAGCCATTATCGATTAAAAAAAATAATAAAAAAAAAAATAAAAGAGATAAAAGGAAAAAAGAAAGGCTCTATGAGGTGTTGGGAATCCGAGGGAGTGCACTTTTTGCTGATTAACTGTTGCATAATTTTGGGGTGTGCGGTTTTCTTTGTGCTTTTTACATGACAAATGAAGGTAATTGCAGAGTGAAAGGAGAGAAGACAGTGGAGAGTGGAGAGAAGACAGTGGAAAGAGGTTATAAGGTAGAAGAACCATAGTAAGCTTTAGATATTCAAAGAAGAGAAAGCATATTCAATGGAGACTGAAGAGAAGAGAGTGGAGACTTAAGAAATGAAATGAGCGAAGAGATTTGAGAAATAATAATTCGTTGGAGACTAGAAAATTACATATCCCCCATATAAAATATTCTATAGCTAAGCTAAAAAAGTGGAGAGTGTATAGAGAAGAGAGTGGAGACTAGATAAAAAGACAATGGCGACTGAAGCGAAGAAAGTATATCCTGAAAAGAAGAGATTGGAGAGTTTAGAGAAAAGTTAGGAAACGAAAAAATTGCATTTAGAAACAAAAAGAATGAAGATTGGTGAGAAGACAGTGGAGAATTGAGAGAAGATTATAAGAAAAAGATTTTAAAAAAGTAAAAGAACATCATAGTGGCCACCAAAATATTAATTAAAAATAAAAAGAGTAGAGACTGGCAAGAAGAGAGTGGAGAAAAGCAACCAAAGACCCAAAGAATCGCAAATCACTGAAATGAAGACCCAAAAGTTACTTAAAATGGCTGTAAGCAATGCCTTCGCACGCCATAAACTGGCATGTTTAAGCACAGCACTTATGTACATATGTATGTATGTGTATGTGTATGTCTATGTATGTGTATGTCTCCCACTCCCAGGACTTTCTCCTTTCTTTAGGCCCATTTCTCTACTTGGCCCTCCGCCTCCTGTGCGCCACTTGCTTCTACTGATTTTTCTGGTTCTGGTCCTGTTTCTGGTTATGGTCCTGCTCCTTTGACAGCATTTCGGCAGCCAGCCAAACAATGAGGCTTTTGTATGCCACAACGCGTTTGCCTCTTTTTTTTTTTTCTACTCATTTTTTTTGGAGAGGAAAACACGCATATGCCACATACGTGGCCCATTGTTTGTATTGAACCCAAGGAAGGCTAAGGACGAAAAAAGCTGGCAAAAGCTGGGGCGGAGTCTTCAGACTGGGGCGTTTTCATTTGCGCTTCAAATCTAAGAATAATAGCCGCCTTGATTACATTCACGCCGCTTTATGACAACCGGGAGAACAAAAAAAAAAAAAAATGTGGCAAGTGTTTGGGGGGAGTAAATAAGGAAAATAGGACACAAAATAAATAAAAAAAATAATTAAAAATAATTAACGATAAAAGTTAAGAAAGTAAAGGCTTAACTTTGAATGTAATTTTTAAGAAATATTCCATCCTTTAATTATAGGCCTTACTGTACTTTGGTTGCAGCTTCAAATGAAAAGAAATGAAATTAAGTGGCATGTTGTTGCTTGTTTTGGGGCAGAGCGTGGGCGGATGTGGGAATGTGTGGCCACGCATGACCAACTTGCAATCACCTCCATGCCAACCATGCCAACCATCGTGCCACAAACGTCCTCCACCGCCTGTCTGTAGGCCTGCCTGCCACTTGAGCTCTTCGATAAGCCTGTTAAACATTTCGAGTGTTAATTGTGTGCGAACAACAATAAAACAGACGCCCTGTCATGTCATGGGTGTGGGGGCCAATTCCCTTAAGGGGGGCCTTAGAAGTTTATATTTTTTATGGCAATTAACCGAGGAAATTATAATTTTCATACCCTTTTTGGATTTTAAACAAATTGCATTGTCTGGAAGGTCTCCTCTCAGTTAACAAACTAACCCAATGACCAAAGTAGAGCTATTTTTATATTTTATTGTACTCGTAGTGCCCGAAAAAATCCATTCCTTGACGGGTGGTGAGCCGGTACTGCGTCAAAATTATGGCTATGTTGTTCAGATCCATGATGACAATTTCTTGGCAATTGGAACACTTTTCACAGCCCGCTATATACTGACAGTCGCCCATAGTTTCCCCTCAAGAATAAAACTAGAAAAACTGACGGTAGTTGCTGGGAACGATAAATTATGGCTTAAGAACAAGGGTCTATCGGTGGCTGCGATACACAGACATCCCAAATTCTCATCTCTAACGTTACGCAACGATATCGCCGTTCTAAGAGTTAAAAATCCCATACAATATAATCGTTTCATTAGCTATATATCATTATGTACAAAACCACTACCCATTGAGAAGAATACCACCGAAATTCTGATAGTTGGTTGGAATTTCTTAGATCTATTGGAATCGATGAAAACGATACGTGTCGATATCGATAGTCCGACCAAGTGTCGATCGAAATTTGTACAAGTGCCGGAGGGTGTTTCGTGTGCCGTTTCCACATCGAATCCACAGGGAATCTGTTATGGCGATTCGGGTAGTCCCCTGATAGTTGGCGGAGAATTGTGCGGCATGGTGATTGGGTTTCGACGTTGCAACAATTCCCGATATCCGGGCCTCATCACCGATGTATATTTTCATCGCGAATTCATCTCCAATGCCATACTTAAGCTGGACAAGGATATGTTAAAGGGTAGGCTTTATAAAATATGCTTTTACCTTTCCATTTATTTTTATTTATGTTTTTTTTTTAAATAGTTTAATCACCACGAAGGACTCACCTGCAAGGAAATAAAAAAAAGAAGAGAAATTTCAATTAAAGTTTGAATAAAGATGTACTTTCATGGCAGTATATATATATATATATATAGTTTAAAGGGTATAGGTATCTCTTGCAAAGGTATTGCAAGAGTTGGTGGGGGGGGTCGTGTTTTTTTTTCGTTCGAAAATCACAGCACATAACCCATTAACCCAACGTTGCCCAACTATACAGAATGCAAAATGTTGTAAGGATGAAGGATGGATGGTTGGATGGATGGATGGATGGATGGTTGGTTGGATGGAGAAGGTGGATGATTTCCATACAATTTTCCTGGCTTTCTTTTGCCTTTGGTTATCGTGCCTGGTTCAGGAACACAGCATTTACATAATGAATTCATATGTTTAATAAAATCTACACGTGAACATGAATATACACAGGCTGGAAGCGAGGGAGTCCTCGTCCTCGTCCTCGTCGTCGTCGCACAAAAGGACAACCTGAGAGTCCTGAATACTGCTGCCAGCCAGTACTATGGCAGAGTTCCTTTTTGAATAGTTTGACGATGACAATGACGTTGACGACATGTTGACGTCATTTTGTTAACCCTCTAAGGAAAATGGGGGGAAAAAATATACATATATACAAATCCAGAGATGGAGATGGAGACTGAGACTGAGACTGTGACTGGGAAGTGGGTGTGTTGTTCGACGTCGTGTCGCTTGGCCAAATTAAAATCATATTAAATTTGCATATTGCGCCAAAGTGTTGGCTCACAAAGTGTCGTGAAAAAAACATTGTTATCGGTTATCGGGTTAGCGGCAGGTGTTGCATAATGGACTATGCCTGGCGGGGCTTTTTCCACCAAATCTCATTTCAAATTCGCAAACAAGGAGCCAGCTCCAGCGCCAAACAAAAGCTTCTTTTGTTGGTTGTGTTGCTTAAAATTATAATTTAATAAACTGAGAGAGAGAAAGAGCTTTTCAATGGAGATTACACTTAAAATATGCGATAATAAATCGATGAATATGGCACTAAATATATTAAATTGTTTTCGTCTTAAAATAAATGATAATAAATCGATTATTATAAAAATTAATAGAACCCTTTGCATATTTAAGAGTTTTTATAAAGAATTCTACTAAAAATATCAAGTTTATTAGTTAATCGATAGATATCGATGGCTAGAAGAATATGCTAGGCTAGAAGATAGCCATATGTGTATGAAACAAATGTAAAGTTATTAAAATGATCTATAAAAATCGATAGTAATAGGAATATTAGTTTGAAAGCTTTCGATTTAAACGATTTTTTAACTAGAAGTCTATGTAAAAAAAATAAAAATAAATACGATAGTCGATAAATATAGATAGTTATAAGAATATTAGTTATAATATCTATCGTTTTTATCGATTTTCTCCCTAAAAACAAAAAAAATGTATGAACAAAAAACTAAATGAAAAGCTATTCAATAGATACCGATAAGCTAAAGAATATTAGTTAGAAATCTATCGTTTTGATCGATTTTCTGCCTCAAAGTCTATTTCAAAAATTCTAAAAAACCAAAAATTACCTTTGACATTTGTTAAAAAAGACCTTTCAATGAGCTGCAAACTATTTATGCCCATCATCGATAGATTATTCATTGCAACTCAGCGCCATAAACAAACAACGATAACTACGACAACAAATCAACCCTGGCAGGCGAATAAATACACGAGAATACACAACAAACACACAAACACAAAATACAAAACTTTTCAACAAATTTTCAACCACAAACAAAAAAATAAAAAAAATAGAAAATAAATTGCAATGACCCAATCTCCAAAAATAAACAGTGAGATGGGCCAGAGAAAGAAAAGTCATTTTGACAGCTGACGGAGGTGAGGTGGAAAAGTGAAAAGCGAGAACGAGAATCGAGAAGGAAAAAACGGTCGTGGGATGTGTCCAAAAACTCGGTCAAGAGGAGCAGAGAGAGGTCATCCAATTGGCAATTGTGATAAATTGTACTTTTAAGCAATTTAAGCCCCCCTCCGAATACAACAAATATTTTACAACAAACCGAACCAGCTCCTCATCAAAGTCATGGAGAAAAAAAAAAAAAAGAAAAAGGGTTTCGACTTTTGACCAGAATTCCATTCTGAATTCTCAATTTTTCTGGTCCCTGGTATGTAAAACTACTTTACTAATAATGCCTCAATTGTGTTCCATTCCTGGAGACGGGGGTGAGGGGAGGGTAGGGAAAAGAAAAGGGATTGTCCAGTCTCCGGGCGTAAAATCCTTCCCCAGCGTAAAAAAAAAAGGACACACATGTAACACATTACCCTAGTTAGGTGGAGGGAGTCTTCTGTTGGGTTGATTTTTCCGTTGTTTTCGTTTTTCCCAACTCGTTTTTCTTTCTTTCTTTCGATTTTTTTTTTTTTTTTTTTCGGTATCTTGAGTATTAATCCTAATTGAAGGGAAATCCCCTGATGGACACGCACTGTTTTTGTGTTTTTTTTCTGTTTTCTGGAAGCTTGCTGAGTGGCAACCCTTCTTTCTTGGCTATTTTATAGTCTTGTGTGTGTAGTTCTTGACTAACGATTTGGGGATATTGGATACAGAGATATAGAAGACCCTCTCAATTTTCTTTATATTCTTTTGGTTTTGGTTATCCTTTCAATCAAAAATTGTAGCATACTTTCTCGCTACCCGGCTCATAATTAAAGGACGACCCACAAGGACACCAAGAAGCAAGAAATAAAAAATACTCAAATAGACATTTAATGATTCCCCATTGTCATTACATAAAGGTGACTTATAAAAACATTATTTCACACGCACACACACATACACACACACACACACACGCTCCAACATACAGGATAAAGGAGCTGGAAGCCAGGACATGAGGGCAAGCTTATTTGTTGCCACGCAGGCATTTCATGTTGGCTAACGAGCACTTTGGGCCATGCTACAACACGCCCCTGTCGTCCCCAACCAGTAGCACAGACCAGGACTAGGTCCTGGAGCATGACCCCAAAAAACCAGGACATATTAAAACCCACACCCCTCCCTGGTACTCGTCCCTTGCGGCGGGTGTGTTGTTTTATTTATTTTGTTTTTTTTTAATAAAAAGTACAATTATAATTTAAAATATTATTAAGATTTTTTTTTTCCCAATAAACTCCATCTATTGTACCGGCCGAAGGACCTCACAAAGTTTCCTCAAAAGTGCATTGTCCTGGCGATTGTTCTGGGTTTCTAGTCATAACCAAAGTCTGTAGAATCTTTAGCAATCTTTCGTGTCTCGATTCACTTGAAAGTTTCTCTGAACTGACGTTGAAGTTTGTTCCGGCGACCACAGGATTTTGCCATCCCCGACCACCCAGCTTCCAGCCCCAAGTCCTTTCAACATTTTCCTTTTACAGAAAGAGAGTTTTGAGACTTGTGTGTTTGGTCCTCGATTCGATTTAAGTTTCGTTTTTGCCTATTGGAAGTTTTCTTTGACTTTGTGTGTGTTTTTCGAAACGACTCTGCCTTCCTTATAGCTTTTCTTTTATGATTTTTGGCTTTTATGGTTTTTTGTTTAAGCTCTTTTATGGCCTGGCCTTGTTAATAGTAAATGGATGCCGCCTGGTCTGGTTTAAGTTCAAGTTTGATTGGAATCATTGTTTTGATTGAAATGCTAAGATTTCTATTAATTTGATCATCATACTGGTAACTATCTAAAGTCCTAACTATCTAACTTCTTCTAAAGTCCCCAACAAACACGTAGGTTCTCATCTGTTAATTCTATTCAATGATAGATAGCTATACCAAATCGATCTGCAAGTCTACGTTTTGTATCTTTGCTCTTTAGACCTGCATCTCCCTCCAAAAAACGAATCAAAATCTTTATCAACCCGCTTTATAGACTAATATCCCCAGCAACAAACTACAAAAATGATATATTCTTTGCATTTCTGGGCCTAAACTGAATGCCAATGCAGAGTTGCAGAGAAGTTTTCTGCGGCTGGTTGGGTAAACAATAAAATGTCCGCATATTTGGCATCATTCCTCAAATTGCCATTATGCACGCGTTTCGCCTTCACCTCGAACGGTAGTACCTCCCCCTCCAAACCGATTTTCCCCCCTTCTGATTTTCCTTTCCATTATGGCGGCCACAAATGCAATGCAGTGGAGTTTTCCTTTCACCCCGCAATGCGACAATAGCAGGTGAGAATGAGAGCACACCGAACCGCAACCGCAACTGTGTGCCGCTGCATTTTTCGCTTTATATCCCCCCCTTATACAACCCCCCCCGCCCCGTTTTGGCACGTGTCGAGTTCATTATCGCCTCACAAACACACACATATATGCATCTATATTATGACCAACTAGGGTTGCCACTCGCATTTGCATTGGCGGGCATTTTCTATTGCCATTTTCTTTGTCGGTTTTGGGGGCACATTACAATTTAAAATTGTTCGCATGCGGCCAGGCCAGGCCAGGCTAGGCCAGGCCGGGACAGGCCAGGCAGGGAAAACTTGTCGCATATTATTTATGGGGTTAGTTCCCTACTGCCACACAAATATATATATATATATATATATATATATATATTTTGTTGGGGGGGGGGGGAGAGCTCGTCGGCTTAAAAATGTTAAACAAGCAAAAAGCTTTGCATACATTTCGGAGACCGGCTGGAGGAGCACACGGATAGGACCACACGCTGGGCTTGTGGACTAGGCTCAAGATTTATGGCTTTGCGACAGGCGGAGCTAGTGGACAGACGGACAAACGGACACACGGACAAACGGACACACGGACAACAGACAAGGGCAAACAGTAAGACGAAGAAATAAAAGAAACGAAAGACAGACAGTTCCAAAGAACGAGCCTGACGGACAGGCCTCTTTGGTGGAGGGATGTTTGGTTGGACTTGGTCGGACTGGAAGCCCTTGAAGCACTGCTCCGGAACAATGAAACTTCAAGAAAACCACAAAGTTTAGAGGCTACTGGAATGGGGCAGTTTAAGACTTGGAGTTTAAAGACTCAACCCAGTCTTGGTTGGTGAGCAGAGACCTCCTCCTCCTCCGGAGGATACTCACCTTTCTTAGCATATCGTCCAGAGAGTCGACATC